CATGTTGTTTTCCAGTGGCTGCACCAATTTACATTCTCACCAACAGCGCACACAGATTCTTTTTTCTCCACATCCTTGCCAACACTTGTTATTTCTTGTCCTTTTTATTCTAGCCAGTCTGATAGGTGTGAAGGGGTATCTCGTTGTGATTTCCATTTGCATTTCTCTGATGGTTACTGATACTGAGCATCTTTCATGTGTCTGTTGGCCATCTGTTTGTCTTCTTGGGAAAGTTAGACCAAAAAAAAGACAAATACCATATGATTTAACTCATATGTGGAATCTAAGAAATGAAACAAAGGAACAAACAAAGAAACAGAGACAAACAAACAATAAAACAGACTCTTAAATACAGAGAACCAACCGACGGCTTCCAGAGGGGTGGTGGGGAGGAGGATGGAATACATAAAGGGAATTAAGAGGTACAAACCTCTAGTTATAAAGCAAGTAAGTCACAGAGATGAGAAGTACAGCACAGGAAATAGAGTCAATACGACTGTAATAATGTTGTCCGGTGACAGATGGTGACCACACTTATCGTGGTGAGCACTATTGGGTAGTGTACTGAATTGCTGGATCATTCTGTTCCACACCTGAAACTTATGTAACAGTGTATGTTAATTATTCTTCAATATAAAATAAATTTACCAAAATATAAAAAACAAAAGCTCTGGAAGGAAATAATAATACACATGACTACATAAAACAAAACTTCTGCAAAAACAAGAAAACAAAAATCTTCTTTAAAGAAATCTGAAAAACAGTCCCTAGCCTAGAAGATGATATTTGCAACATAAGTCACAGAAAGGATTAGTAAGTGGAAATTAGTAATGGAGAACCCTCACTAAAACGGGAATCTGGAGTCTCCCCAGGGGAGCTCTCACGCCCTACCACTCCAGTTGGTTGCAGGTGCAGCAGGAAGAGCCGGAGTTGACCTTGCACGTGCACATGACTCTACCATTTAGGTGGAGGAAGAGTCGCTTTCCTTATCCCCCTCCCCTCCAGCAACAGCTCAGCCAATGAGAAGCCCCTACACTTGGAACTCTCAGTTTACCCCAGTGGACGTTTAGCTTATAACAGCCTTCCCAACTACCCATTTTCTCCTTAAAAAAGTGTACCTCCCCCTTGTTCCTTGGATTTGCCTTTGTTTGGCCACCACTTGTTTATCCTGGATTGCAATTCTTTTATTCCCAAATAACCCCATCTTTTGCTGGTAAAATAACTGGCAGTTTTTATTCTTAAGGTTAACAACATATATAAAAACGTTACAGTCATTTAATTTAAATAAACACAAGGCACAATCCAAAAGAAAAACAGATTAAGGATAAAAGCAGGCAATGCACAGACGAGGAAATACATGGAGATATGCAAATTATACCTACCACGCAATGCAACCTTTTCCAAGTGATAAAAATGTAAGACTTGAAAAATATCAAGTGCCAGTGAGGGTATGAGTGAATAAGTACTCTTATAAACTGCAAGCCAGTGTAAATTGGTACTGATATTTTGAGGGGCTATTTGGCAGTATTCACTAAAAAATGAAAATTTTAGTTATGACCCAGGGATTCCATTTCTAGGAATCCTCCCTAAAGAAACACCCACATATGTGCACAGAGCTATTCACTGAACCATCACTTGTAATAGTGAAAAATATAAAACACCAACTATCTATCAGCAGGGAAATAAACTATAATATCCAGGCAATGTAGGAGTTAAAAAATATATAGGTAAATCTCATATCGACATACACTGAAGGATTGCCAAGTGATATTGTTTAAAAAGTTCCAGGAAAATACAGAAAATTCCAAATCAAAATAAAGTCAGTTCTCCATACTTTCAAAGGTACAGGTATGTATATAAATGCACAAAAAAAGACCTGAAGAGTAACCAACAAATTGATAATAGTTAACTCTGGGGAGGGAACTGTGTTAGGGTGAGGGACAGTCGAGGAGGATTTTTGACTCTATATTGTTTGAATTTCAAAAAATAAGAGTATATTCACTTATTACTTATCTAATTAAAAATAGATAAAACTTATAAAATGATACACAACTATAAATTCATATCTAATGTTATAGGCAAAGTTTCATTGGAACACAGTGAAAGGAAAAACTGGTTATGTAGAGAAGATTTTATAGCAATAGTGACATTTGAGCTGGGCCTTGCTGTTTAAATAGAATTTTGTCAAGCATCCATAACTTTGTGGAGGACTGTGGCAGATTGTATTTTCCAAAGACGACTGTACTAACACACACATCAATCTGTATGCTTTTCTTTCAATATGACATTGACTCTTGTCCATAGAGGGGTGGGGGGTCTACATTCCCTCCCCTTGAACTTGGGCGAGATTTTATGATTGCGTTATGAACTGAATGGGAAGGAAGTATCACAGCACGATTTTTGAGATTATTCAGCTTCTGCCCAGTCCTTTCTTTTACCGGATGCTCACCCTTGGAACCCAGCCACCATGCTGTGACAAAGCCCAAACTAGCCTATGTGGAGAGACCACATGAAGAGGCTCATGTGGAGAGAAACTGAGGCCCCCAGCCGATAGTGGGCACCAACTACGAGACACATGAGTGAATGCGCCTTCAGATGATTCCCGTCCCCAGGCTTTGTGTTCTCGGGCTGAGGCCCAAACATACGTCATGGGGCAGAGAAAAGTCATCCCCACTGTGCCCTGTCCTAATTCCTGACCCAGAGAATCCATGAGCAGAATAAATGGTTATTTTATGCCACAAAGTTTGAGAGCAATGTGTTACACAGCTGCTGAAGTAACTGGAACAAAGACTTTCTAAGGAGAAGAAACTACACAAGCAACAGAACGTTGCAGAGCAATGCGAATGTTGGCAGTACCGGGTGATGAGGTCACAAATGTTGGCGGGGACCAGGCCATGAAAAGTCTCCTATGACAGCATGAAAAAACTAGACATCCTATTGGCGTGGAAAACTGTGGAAAGTTTTTAAGCTGGGAAGTGAAATGCGTAGACCTGCACTTTAGCAAGATACCTCTAAGATTGGTGTGAAGGAACAGCGGGAGAAAAGGAAGCCTCAAAAGTAGGAAAACTCCTCCAATCAAGATGAGTTCCAACCAAGGAACATGGTGGAATTATCCTTCACTCAATATGTTTTGTGACTTTTTTCCTCTTCAGGGCTGCCTCTTAGGCTCATTTACATGCCATTTCACTTGTATGGCACTGTTGGCAGGGGAAACTTATTTCCACACGAGAATGTGCCCTCGGATATTCACAGCAACTTCATTTAAATGTGCCCAAACTTAGACACAGCCGAGATGTTCTTCTGCAGGTGAATGGGTAAATACCCTGGTATATCCCATTCGGCACTAAAAAGGAAGGGGCTATCAAGCCATGAAAGACATGGTGGAGCCTTCAATGCGTGCTGCTGAATAAAAGCAGTCAGTCTGAAAAGGCCACATCCTGTGTGAGCTCAGCTATAGGACTTCCTGGAAAAGGCAAAACTATGGAGACAGTTAAAATATCAGCGGCAGCTAGGGGTTAGGAGGAAGGGAGGAACGGCAGGCAGAGCACAAGGAGCCTGGCAGGGCCGTGAACTAGTCTGTATGATACTGTAGTGGTGGATACATGTCTTCAGACACTTGTCCAAACCCACAGAACACACAACACGAAGAATGATCCTTAATGGAAACCATGGTCTTTGGGCAATGAAAGCGTTAACGTAGGTTCACTGACTGCAGCAGATGTAAGGTTGTTCTTGTCTGGAGGCAGGCGTATGTGGGGAAATTTCTGTACCTTCCACTCAATTTTACTGTGAACTTAAAACTGCTTTAAAAAATGAAGCCTATTTTTAAAATGTTGGGGGTGGGGGACTATGAGGGGACATTAGATCACAAAAAACGTTTTCCTTACCATTCTTCTTTCAAGCTTCTGGATCTGGATCAGTTGACATAAAGCGTATTCTAAGAATACGGAGCAAGCTGTCTTGAAAATGGTAAGCACTTATAACGAATTATCCATGTGAGTAATTATACCATCCTTGTACTACAAATATCACCATAACCCACAACTCCGTGTTCCGTGTTTATTGAAATATCCTCATCATTCTCATGACGAGTTTTATAAGAAAATTATATAAACGTGAACCCGTAAAAGAAATCTATTCTAATCGACTACAGTTCTTATATTTTGGATATTGGGGATCTATAGGAGGAGGAAATCACAGCACGTGGCCTAAAGATGAGGGAGCAGATGAAACTCGAAACATAAGGAGCGACCTCTGCAGTGAGGGAAAGGATGCCTGGCTGAATAGAAAAGCATAGATAAATGAAGGGATGAAAGATACTAACGAGAATGTTTCATTTTCATCTTGGCAGAGGGTCCTGAGTCCTATTTTTTGAGAAAAGCAAGAGGAAGGATGTATTAAAAATTGAGTTTCTGAAGAACAGGGACAGTACGGAGTGGCTCCAGTGTGAATCAATCAGAGCCCGAGTAGCAGCCAAGCCCAGGTGAAAATGGATATATCATTTATTGAAGGGGCAGTTTGTATCATTTTATACCATACTTTCTCTAATGCTAATTATTCAAGAGGTGATTAGCCAATTTGTGGGATGCCGTACATCTTGCTTTTCACATTTTGGTCCAATGCTTGCTTATGAAAAATGTCACAATTTAAACTCTTTATCAAAGCGAAGTTAACACAAATGAAAAAAGGAACTCTAATTTTTCTGCATTTAAAACCATTCATAAGAGATTTGAGGTTTGCAGTTAATAATTTTCGACACAATGAAAAAGGAAAAAAGCAAAATAGAGGGACTAAACCCCCACTGAAACAAATGTTAATTAAGATTACAGGATCATGTGTGGGTTGAATTCATCCATGCTAGTCTCATCCCTCATTATCGAAGTTAAATTAAGGCCATTGCTGCTGTATTTCACAAAATAAAATCTGATGAAAAGCAATTCCTGTCCAATGCTTCTTATTCATGTTTCTGAGTCACCTTTCTAATCTTTTAACCAATTTACCTGCGTCCCAGAGGTTACAAACGTCTGCTGGCCCTTCTGACAGCCATTTAGTTGACGAGATAATGGAAGGAGGAATTGTCGGCAAAAGTGGCTTTGGCTCATCCTCATAAAATAACATCAGGTCCTTAGAGAAAACAGGAGAGCACATGAAGGTTGAAAAAAGTAATTGATCCCAGTGCTTCAATTTGTTAAAGTAGGTGGACAATTTATGGAGCCACAGTGTGTCTATATGTGCTAACATAAACACATTTTAATTGAAAGAACTCAAATATAAGTTAGCTATACACTCAGTGTCCACTGGGTACAGGGTGGTTTTCTACCCTTGGAGATCCTCACTCCTTCATGAAGATAGCTGGTGCAGGCAAGCCATGATTCTCTTTGAGGCATTAACTGTCCCCATCAGCCCTTGAGCTATCTCAGAAGAGGATTTTTCTGTTCTACTGGCAATAATAAAGCTACCCATGTGTATCTTTTATTCATATTTTAAAACTTTACCTTTTTTATCATGGAGTAAAAAAACAGATGATAATCCAGCCATGCAGGTTAAACAAATCAATGCATGGCCAGTCTTGTTTTATCTATATCCTCCCACTCCTCATCTGTTTTATTGTGAAGCAAATCCTAGATATATCACTTATTTCAGTATATCTCTCGAAATGACAAACTCTTTAACAGTGATTATTATTTTATACCTAGAAACTTCACAACTCCCTAATGTCATCAGTTAGAAACTCATCTTTTCAATTTCTCCTAAGTGCCGTAAGTAGGTTTTTCTATAGCTTGTCTAAGAGAGGATTCAAATAAAGTATGCAGTGGAATCAGTTGACATGTCTTTCCCCCCCATGAACAGAGATTTCTTCCACAGTACTTTATTTAAGGTATAATTAACATAGAATGCATAAACCTTAAGTGTGGAGCTCAATGAGTTTTAACATTTTGTGTATACCTGTGTAGCCACATTTCTGTCATTCCAGAAAGTTCCTCCAGCTCGTTTCCAGCTGACACCATTCCCCTGCTACCAGTACACAGTATTCTACCTTCTACCGTAATCAAGGAGTTTGCCTGTTCTTGAGCTTCCTGTGAATGTAATCATATAGTATGTACTCTTTTGTATCTGATTCCCATGGCTTAACATGTTTGTGAGATTTATCTGTATTTTGTGTGTATCAGTTCCTTTTTTTTTTTTATAAGAAGTATTCCATTGTATGAATATACCACAATTTGTTTATCCATTCTCCTCCATATGGGCATTTGGACTGTTTCCAAATTTCAGCTGTTACGAATAAAGCTACTATGAACATTCTTATTCAAATATTTTTATGGACAAATGTACTCATTATTCCTGGATATTTGCACAGAACTAGAATGAACTAGAACTAGAATGGCTAGGTCATAGGATAGGTTAGCTTTTAACTTCATTGAAACTGCCAAACCATTTTCCAAATGATTTGCCACTTCTTATATTTTCAATTTTCATCTTAAAATCATTGTTGATTCATATTCAGTTGTAAGAAATAGTACAGAGTGACCCTGTGTATCCTTCACCCAGTTTTCCCTAAAGGTAACATCTTAAAAACTGTAGTACAATATTATCCAGGATATTGACATTGATACAGTCAAAATAGAGGACATTCTCTTCACCATAAAGATCCTTCCTGATACTTTTTTATTACCATAGCCTGCCCCCCACCACTACTAATCTGTTCTCCATTTCTGTAATTCTGACATTTGAAGAATGTTATATAAAAGGAATCCTACAGGATATAACCTTTTGGAATTGGCTTTTTTCACCTGGCATAATTCCCAGAAATTCATCCAAGTTGTTTCATTTATTAATAACTTGTTCCTTTTTATTGCTCTGTAGTATCCATGGTATAGATGTATCACAGTTTGTTTAACCTGTCAAAGGAAATCTGGATTGTTTCCAGATTTTGGTTACTATAAATAAAGTTGCTGTTAACACTATGTACAGGTTTTTGTATGAAAATAAATTTTCACATCACTGGGATGTATGCCTAAGTATTGCAATTGCCAGGTTGTGTGGTAGTTGCATGTTTAGTTTTTAAGACACTGCCAAACTATTTTCCAAAATTGTTACACAATTTTACATTTCCACTGGTAATATTTGAGTGATCTAATTTCTCCACATGTCTGCCAAAACTTGGTGTTGTCATTATTTTTTATTTTAGCCACTTTGATATTTCATTATGTGTTTATTTTTTTTAAAGACTTTATATATTTATTTATTTATTGGACAGAGAGAGATCACAAGCAGGCAGAGAGGCAGGCAGAGAGAGAGGGAGAAGCAGGCTCCCCGCTGAGCAAAAGAGCCTGATATGGGGCTCGATCCCAGGACCCTAAGATCATGACCTGAGCCAAAGGCAGAAGCTTAAACCACTGAGCCACCCAGGTACCCCTATATTTCATTATGTGTTTAAAATTACATATTCCTAACAGGTGATATTGAACATCTTTTCATGTGCTTATCTACCATCTTTATTTGCTGAAATGACAGTTTTTGTCATTTGCCCATTTTCTAGTTGGATTGTTTGGTTTTTAACTGTTAGGATTTTGAGGGGTTTTTTTAATTTTTAAAAAAGTAGGCTCCCTGCCCAACATGGTGCCTAAACTCATGACCCTGAGATTAAGAGTCACATGTTCTACCAACTGAGCCAGGCAGGACCCCAAGAAGTTTTGTTTTGTTTTGTTTTGATGCTCCAGATATTAGTCCTTTGCTGGATATGTGGGTTGCAAATATTTTCTCTTGTATTTATACCGTTGTGTGATGAAGTCTAACTTTTTTTCTTTTAGGGATCATGTTTTTTGGCCAGCCTTAGACCCCAAAGATTTTTCTCCAGTAGTTTTAAAAAGTTTGATAGTTTTACATTTTACATTTAAGTCCATGATCCACTTGGACTGAATTTCTATGAGGTTTACATTGAGGTTCATGGTTTTGCCTATGAATGTCCAGTTGTTCCAACAACATTTGTTGAAAAGGTTATCTTTCCTCCATTGAATTCCTTTGATTCCTCTGTTAAAAATCAACTGGCCATATTGGTGTGGGTCTTTTTTGGTTTTCTATCCTAGGTATCTATCTCTCCACTCATACCACACTCTCTTGATTATGATAGCTATGAAATAGGCTTTAATATCAGGCAGCGTGATTAGTTCCACTTTATTCTTCTTTTTCAGATGGTTTTAGTTATTCTAGGGCCTATGCCTTCCCATATGAATTTTATAATAACTTTGTTATCTGTGTATAAAAAAAACTGCTGGAATTTTGACAGGAATTCCATTAAACTTATAGAGTAATTAGGGACATCTTTATTATGACAAGTCTTTCAACCCATGAACATGGTATGTTTGACTAGTCTTTAAGTTCCTTCATCAGTATTTTATAATTATGTATTTTATCATTCTCAGCATACTGATTCTACATATGTTTTGTTACAATTATACCTAAGGATTTCATTTTGGAGCATTAACTGCAAATTGGATGTGTCTTAATTTCAGTTTCAACATGTTCACTCTTAGGACATAAAAATGTTAACTTCTTTATGTATGTTGATCTTATACCCTACAACCCTACTGAATTCACGTGCTGGTTCTATGAGGGCTTTTTGTTGTCATTGTTGTTGTTTTTTAAGAATTATTTATTTATTTTAGAGCGAGCACAAGCCTGAGCCAAAACCAAGAATCAGATGCTCAACCAACTCAGCCAACCAGGCACCTGAAGTTTGTTTCTGTCATCTCTTTGAGATTTTCTATGCAGACTATATGAAAATAAGGACAATTTAATTTTTTCCTATTTTCCATGCCTTTTTCTGTTGCAGTGGCTGGAACTTCCAGTGTTATGTTGAGTAAGTCCTGGCCTTGTTCCTGATCTTGAAAGGAAAGCATTCACTGCTAAGAATGATGCTATTGTAGGTTTTGTGTAGGTTATCTTGATCAAACTAAGGAAATTCCTTATTTCTAGTTGCTGAGTTATCATAAATGGGTGTTGAATTTTGTTAATAAATGCTCATCTGCATCAATTGACAAAATCCTATGATTTTTCTTCTTTAATTTGTTGATATGATGAATTGCATCGACTGGGTTTCAAATGTTGAGCCACACCTGGATTATATCCCACTTAGACCTGGTGTGTAATTTTTTTTTTTTAAAGATTTTATTTATTTATTTGCCGGAGAGAGAGAGAGAGAACAGGCAGACAGAGTGGCAGCAGAGGCAGAGGGAGAAGCAGGCTCCCCACCGAGCAAGGAGCCCGATGTGGGACTCGATCCCAGGATGCCGAGATCATGACCTGAGCTGAAGGCAGCGGCTCAATCAACTGAGCCACCCAGGCGTCCCGTGGTGTGTAATTTTTTTTAAATACATGGCTGGAGTCGATGGGTAAAATTTTTTGAGGATTTTTGCATCTAATTTCATGAGAGATACTAGTCTATATTATATATATTATATATATATATATATATATATATATATATATATATATATATATATATACTTCGTAGTGTCTTTTTCTGGGTTTAGTAGCAGAATAATACTTGCCTCATAAAATGAACTGGGAAGCATTCCCTCCTGTTTTCTGAAAGACCTCTGTATGAAAATAGTGTCAATTCTTATTTAAATGTTTGATAGAATTCTCCAGTAAAACCATCTGGGCCTGGAGATTTCTTTTTCAGGAGACTGATACTACAAATTCACTTAAAAAAATGGTTATAGAACTATTCAGGTTCTTTTTCATCTTCTTTGAATTTTGGTAGTTTGTGCTTTCTGAGAAATTGTTCTAGTTCTTCAAATTGTCAAATTTATGAGCATAGAGTTGCTGGCAGTAATTCTTTATTATCCTTTTATAGCTACAGGAACTGCAGGAATATCCTATTTCATCCTGATATCAGTAACCTGGGTCTTCTCTCTTCATCAGTCTTGCTAGAGGTTTATCAGTTTTATATTTTTCAAAGAACTAGATTTTGTTATGTCATTCACCTATTAACAGTTCTCCTGCTTTCAATTTCACTAATTTCTGTTCTTTATTTTCTTTCTTCTGTTTCATGTAGGTTTATTTTGCTTTTCTTAGTTTTTTCAAAGGAACTTAAATTATTGATTTTATACCTTTTCTCT